CCTCCATCTAGTGATGTCGGTCTATTGATTTTGATGTATTGATTGAAAATTGTTCATTATTATCTTGGTTAATTAACATCTAATGTTAACTGTACTACATTTTATAGCAGTAGGGTAAAATGCTTGTCTTTGTTGAAAAGACTGTATTAACTGTAAAGACTGTCTTTTACATCAGCCTGTTTTCAGGGCCTTTCTTTGGCTACATATTTGTTATTTTTTGCTACATGCCTCCCCATCTTCTTGCCATATGTTTCTATGGCATAAATCAGTGTCTGTGACCTGTTTTCATTTAAAAAAAAGAACATTGGCACAAACCTAGCCTGTATGTATTTTTTGTATGTCATCGAGAGTATTTAAATGATTTTCAATCAGAAAAAAAATTTGCGATTAAAATGCGATTAATCGCGAGTTAACTCAGGCATTGATGCGATTAATCGCGATTAAAAAAAATTAATCGATTGACAGCACTAATATATATATATATATATATATATATATATATATATATATATATATATATATATATATATATATATATATATATATATAAGGTATATAATAAGTGAACATGTGGAGCAGGAAAAAAAAACATTAGTTCTCTTTTAAGGTTAGGTTTAAAATTTAAACACAAAATTTTAAATAAAATTATTCAATTTGACAGTGAGAAGTACATGAAAAGTTTCCATTATGGAACAGCGACATCAACATAATAACTATGAATATCTCTGATTAAACAATAGTCTTCCACTTTTATAGACACGTCATGAGATGCAGCCCTCTTACCAGTGTAAACTGGTACATGCTGATATAAATCAGATTAAAGATTTCATTAGAGGCTCATAGCTACCTGTATGACATAAATCTGCACAGTAATACAATAAAATTACGTCAGTGCCTGCCACAAGCCCTTGGCCACCCTGCGAATAGCCATTTCTCTCCGCCAAGGTCACAAAGACACAGTGGGGAGAACAAAAAGTCATTTTCTCTTCTCTCTTCAGACTGCCTTTTATATTTTCTGTGGTCTCTCTTCAATTATATCTCACAACTTCCCAGCCCAGTCTTTTAGAGCTCAGAGGTGAACAGACTCCATTTCTATCCATCTTTAGAAAAAAAAAACATGGGTTTCACATGTCAAGTACCAGCTTGAAAATCAGTCGATTTTACTTCTTTCTTCTTTATCATGCCTCCACATGTAAAGCAGCTGGCAAAACATTCGATTTGCTTTGATTTCTGTCTCCTCTCTGATATCATTTAGTTTCCTGTGTACTCAAGGACATTTCACTCTTCTTTTGACTTATCTCTCTGCTGTCACCAGTTTCAAACTTTGGATTTTAGAGAAGTTGAAATAAAGAAAACAATAAAAGAAGGAGAAACTAATGGAAAAAGTGAAGTGCAGAGAAGAACCAGGTATAAAGAGAGTAAAGATCCCAGTACTGTGGTAAGTAACAAATGAAGACAAGTTGAGAGAAATAAAAGGAATGGATGGTGCTGTACAAACGAGTTAAGAAAATGACCATGGCAGCAAAATACGGTGAATTTATCACAATATTATCATCACATCTTTTAGGTAACAAAACTAAACCACATTTTTATATGAACAGTTCCACTTTCCGCATTAAAACTTGTATTCAGGATATTTTTCACAAATACTTTTATCAAAAGCAAAAGAGAACTGACAAATGAGCATCTAATGGTTTTATCTATTTTGCTAAAAAACATTATTAGAAAAGTGTGTAACCATTTTGCTTGAAAAGGAGTAAGTCCGCATCAAAGAGGCAAGTTGGGTTTCGATCTGAGAAAATCAATGCAATTACATTTTGTTTAGCTGCCTTTTGTTGTCAGAATTTCCAATTATGACCAAAAAGCTACAAATATCCAGCCCAATGAATCACATTTTCGATTTAATTAATTGTTAACACCAATAATCCAGTATATATATATGTTTTATATATCAGTATACGAAATGTTTAATGAGTACAGGAACAACAGGTCTGCTTTGCCCATGTAAAATCAATAAGGCTAATTTGTTTGATTCAAAGTACTTTTTAACCGTGACAACCTTATAACAAAATATAATATAAATTAACTAAAAAAACCCTGCAGGACAGCGGCCCTCTAGGACTGACTCACGTCAGATCAGGTCAGGTCAGGATCTATGATTTTTTTTTTTCTCATGCACAATAAGCTGATTGTATTCAGTTAAGTGGATACAAAATGTGGTTAAAGATATTATAAAATAGAGGATCTGTCTTTTATTTATTGTTGTCCTGGAGCTGCAGAAGAAGGCGGATAGGAAATCTGAGCCTGCTGTGCTCTGCTGCAGCCTTCGCATGACCTGCATGACACGCACATCTGGGCCAGACCTGACCTGGGCCAGTCTGTGTACCCTTGCACCGATTGTGCATGTCAGAAAAAAAAAAGGTTTAACAGCCCTCAATCCGCACACAGATCCGTGCTGCATGAACCTACTGCGTTGTCACAGTAACACCTTTAATAAGATATTCATTTACATTGGGGTTTTTCTTTAGGCTCGGGCCCACAAATCAAATCTGTTGGTCGGGCTAAGGTAGGACGTTATTCCCCCGGAGCCTCGCAGAAATTGAGTGCTGCTATAAAAAAAACCTTACAATTGAGTCAAATTTCACATCTTTATAGTCACATCACTTAATGCAGACACCTTACCCAGCTGGAGATACGGTTCAGTTGAAACCAAAAAATAAAATTGTAATGTCCCTTACTGTGATAATAGAATAGTATAAAATAAAATGGAACAGAAATACAATTAATTGTTCATGAGTTGTGATATTCATGTAGCAGCAGAGAAGCATGGAGGAAATGGAAGCACGTAGCCTGACGTAGTCCGACTCAATTCTAGTCAGAATATGAGTCTGATACTGCTCCATAGAGCTGTGATTATGGGGCGTGTTTCGAACGAACCAGGAAAAAAAATGCCTCTGCACTCAATTGGATAGACCTACAACCAATAAGAGCAACGGAGTGCGTGACGTATGTTAAGCGAGGCATAGTTGTTGTCCACAAAAATCAAAGCGTGCAGTTTCGCGTTTTTCTGTTCCTCTTTTAAAATTAATTTGCTGTCGATATCTTCTAGAACAGACCTAATAGCAGAATCTACTCACCCAAACTCTCCAGCAGCAGCCATTGTTGTTGTCACCCAAGCGCGCTTTGGTCACGTGGTTGATTACGTTACTGTTGGTCATCTGTCCATCATCGTATAAAGCCCGCCCTGACAATTTGATTGGATCGCCTGACAGTGGGCTTTAATACTCGCGCTACTATGGAGCAGAGCCAGACCGAACTTCCCCGAACTCAAACCTTGTGGGCGGGACTAAGTTCTGACTGGCACCCAGGCTAGGAAGCACGGTCAAATAATCCACATTCTCTGAGAAAATGAAAGAATGTGGATCTCACTGTGATACCAAGCTTCTCCACATGGGCCAGAGCTTGTTACAGTGGGTAGATGATCGTATGATCCACTTCAGTACTAGGTACCACACAATGGTGCCATACAGTACAGTAGGTGGTACTTTCCTCAGCTTTAGGCTCGTGTTAAACAAGTATCCCATGATGCCATGCAGTTTATATGTGTAAGACTTTGGGGCCTGAAGCTGATGCCCTTCAAACTCATTTCCTTTCACACCTTGATCTTTGGTAGCTTGTTCCTCAACTGAAGTGTTGAGAGTGAAGGGGTGATGTTGGGGACAGAGGGCTGTAGGAGGTTTTTATAACAGAGGAAGTGGATTGTGGCATAAAGCTGAGATATGAAGTCCAAGAATAAATTAGGCAATTGTTGAAGATAATAGGGTTCCAGTTTTCCTTCAGCGTGAGAGTTTGTTCTTCCAGAGCACCGTTTCTGTATTTAATTATTTGAGCTTATACCTATCTGTATGCTTAGAGGCACTCAAAAAAAACATGTGTATTCCCTGACTGTTAGTTGAGTTCTTTAAAATTAATTGTATGTGATTGTGAAATTTTATATAAATAATAAATCTGGTCCTTCTAAATCTTTAGTCACTTTGAATTACCACATTATTGGTCTCAGCATGCATGGATGTTTTAGTGTGAGTGCATCAAAAAAGTGAGCACAAATCAAAGATATACCAAAAACTTGATGTTCACAAAAACTTCCTCAAATCCAAAATCCTTTAACCAACTTATATGGGTCTAGCTGCACACCAGAATTTAACCATGACTTCACAAGCCATAATAGATGGCAATATAGATACAAAAGCTAAACCAGACATTGAGAAGGTTATTCATCTTCTTTAAAACTTAAACTGTCAAAATATTTCCCAGTAGATTCCAATAGATTGTTTTCTCCCCATGTTTCCAACTTGCCAGTACAATACAGACTCTCGTGCGACAGAGTGGTACAACAGGCAAACAAATACTGTACATACAAATATGTCCATTGTCTAAACCTGCTTCTCCATGCAAGGCCGCAGGGTGACATAAAAATCCAATGTAATATACATTAAACAGCCAGGAAAGTCCATAAAAACAGTGGAAAATCTATTTTGGAGATCTGCAGATTGCCGATTTAGATGCCTAGTTCTACTGTAACAGCTCCCACAATCACTCGTTATAATGCACCTTGCTTACATGCTGCAAATAATAACATTTTGAATCATTTTCATGTGCTGTTGCAGAGGGGCTAATTGTTCAAATGGACAGTGTTATGCGACTGTTTTGCAAAGCTGGTCTTTGGAGAGCTATGTCGGTGCATCCTTATCTCTTAAAATATCTAGCTTTCATTATTTTATTGCAGCACAATTCTGTATTTTATGCAGTATTCACACATTGCAATTAAGAGCTTTGCGGCAGCTCTACAGAAAACAAATCCATCAAAAGTACAAATAAAATCACTAATAAAAACATTGAAGAACTGATGTCACTTTATACTTTTACTGAAAGTAAACTATTTGACACATGAGTGTGAGAGACGGATGTCCAGTAAATTTTAGATTTTTAAATTGGCTTACCTTTTCAGAGTCCATAGCAGTGATCACCCACACACAGTGTGCGTTGTTCTCATACTGAACAGGGTAGTTAGGTGATGTTATCACCCCTTTGGGCCCTCTAAGATTACTGCCACAGGTACGAGCTATAAGAGAAGATTTGGGACAAAGGTGAAATTTTACAGTCTTCTTAAAGTTACCCTTTTGGTTAAAAAGTCTGGAAAAAAGATGTTGAACGATGGAGGCAACAATAAAAAAAGGAGGCTAGCCACAAAAAAAAAAATCTTGTAAAGTTTAGAAATAGTATAGAAATAAAAACCTGTCAATGGTCAGAACATTTTTTATCTACCACAGTAAAAAAAAAGCATCATTGCTGCCCTCTGTAGCTAAAAGGGGTCCAGCACATTGTCAAAATGGGTTAATCTGATATTTTGCACAAGGGGAAATATGAACAGCCCATCCCAATTTGAAAAAAAAAATGAATAGAACTAAGGAATAGGAATAGGCTGAGTAAGCAAGGATCTTTAAGAGAAAGAAGAAACAGGTGAATGTAGCAGAGAAGAAGAGTAAAAATCTTTTTTTTAAATTTAGCAATATTTACTGCCTATGCTGTAAAAGATCCTTGTAGGAATTTACTGACACCGGACAGGGCCACTATAAGTCACCTCCTCTACATGGATGATATCAAACTGTACGCTAAGAATGAGCTAGACATTAACTCACTGATCCATACCAAATGGATCTTGAGCACAGACATGGGATGTCATTCGGGCTAGAGAAGTGTGGTCGGATGGTAACTAAGAGATGGAAGGTAGTCCACACAGAGGGGGTCTCACTCCCTGAAGGAAAAATAGCAGACATTGATGAAAGCTGCAAGCACATTGGAATCCCACAAGAAAATGACAACCTCAAAGAGGTGAGAAGGAAAGTGGCTATGGCCAAATACCTCTATTGAGTTAGGCAGGTCCTAAGGAGCCAGCTCAATGGCAAGAATAAGTCTTGGGCAATGAATAGCTATACGCCAGAAATAAGATACCCTGCAGGAATAATAAGCTGGTCAAAGGAGGAGGTACAGGCCACAGATGTTAAGACACGAAAGCTCCTAACCATGCACGGAGGGTACCACCCCAAAACCAGCACCCTGAGACTGTACACCAGCCGTAAGGACGGAGGCCGAGGACTAATGAACATAAGAGCCACTATCCAGGATGAAACATCCAAGTTCCATATGTACATCAAGGACAAGGCTCCAACAGATGACATGCTCAGTGAATGTCTCAGACAATTTGGAACAGAACTGCACCATAACACACGGCAACATAATCGAAGTGGCAGATATCAGGAATTCCTACTAATGGCTCGACAAAGCCAGACTGAGGGACAGCACTGAGGCACTCATCATGGCTGCACAGGAGTGAGCCCTAAGCACCAGAGCAATAGAGGCCCAGATCTACCACACCAGACAAGACCCCAGGTGCAGACTGTGCAAAGAGGTCCCTGAGACAATCCAGCACATAACTGCAGAGTGTAAGATGCTGGCAGGGAAAGCTTACATAGAGCGCAATAACCAAGTGGCTGGAATAGTATACAGGAACATCTGTGCAAAGTATGGTCTGGAAACCCCAAGGTCAAAGTGGGAAACACCTCAAAAGATGGCAGAGAATGACCAAGTCAAAGTCCTGTGGGACTTCCAGATACAGACAGACCGAGAGAAAAGACATTGTGGTGAAATAGCAATACCAAGTGACTGCAACGTCAGGAACAAAAGAACATGGAAAAACTAGTGAAATACCAGGTTCTCAGAGAAGAGCTGGAGAAAACCTGGAAGGTCAAGGCATCAGTGGTGCCCATGGTCAATGGAACACTCAGGGCAGAGACCCCCAAACTTAAAAAGCGTTTACAGCAGATCCCTGGAAATACAACAGACATCTCAGTTTAGAAGAGTGCAGTTCTAGGAACAGCAAAGATACTGCACAGAACCCTTAAGTTCCAAGGCCTCTGGTAGAGGACTCAAACTCTTTATATATATATATATATATATATATATATATATATATATATATATATGTGAGATGGAGCTCCAAAGTCGCTCTATGACAGAGCTGAGAAAAGGCTTAAGTTCCATGTAGCAATCTTTAGATTTGAGCCAAAAAATGAATCAAAACTAAGGTCAACATCCGTTAAGCTTTTAAGCAGAGGTGCTCAACAAAGCATAGGGGTTAAGAAGCCATGCAGAGGTTTTAATCTTTGATTAGCATTACCATTAGTAGCAACAGACTGGCAAACAGTATGGAAGAAAAATGGGCGAATGCACTTTGTTGTGGCCAAGATGAGCTGCATTAAAAGTATGGCTAGAGTGATTGTAGACTAACAGGTACTTAACCCCATAGTAATGTTGCTACAAGCGGATTGACCATGATGTAAAATATTTGCAAACACACAAGTTTTAGGAGTTTTAAGAACAATGCAAATAAAAAGGGGATAAATATATAGAGGGAGGGAAATTAAAGAATAGTACTACAAAAGTGGATTACCTGGAGAAAAATTTGAAGAAGGTGAAGAAACAAGAAGGCAAGAAAGAGACAAAAAAAATACCAGTAGGGAAGAGAGGAGGAACCCAGATGACTGATCAGACTGTTAATTAGAAAAGAGAGCTGAACCACATTTTGAAACACACAACCAAATGGACACACAGAAACACATTCATTGCAATTCATCTAGGAAACCAGCTTCTAATTAACAGCAAAGTCTCAGCAGAGAACGAGAGAGGCTCACGGGTTTGAATCACAGAGTGATCACACCAGATAATACAATAAACCAGAGCTAGTGGTTCAGAGATGTTTTTAACCGCTACTTTTCCATTTTCTGTTAGTCCACTAATTTAGACTAGTATTTTTTTTTTTTTTTTACTAGCAGTCTGTTTCACTTCTGCTAGTCAGACATTATTGTTATATATGTATTATCAGTTAAAACAAAGACATATAAAATAATGGTATATTTGTTTCATAAGCGGAAGTACAATTTATTCTTGAATTAAAAGTTTCCCACAGTATCCTGATTTCCACAAATTTCAAACAGGCTGGACTTAAAATGTAATCACTGCTGAATAAATCACCAACAGCACTGTTCAAATAGGAATATCCACTATTACTTTCTTTATCATTTTATGAAGACAGTAAAATGATGTTAAGTCAATGTAACAAGTACATTTTCTCACGGTGAGATGAATAAAGTCAATCAATCAATCAATCAATTAATCAATATATTCTATAACAAATGCTTTGAACGTTTGAAAGCAAATATATATATTATAGTCCCGATGTGTGTTTTTCTTCCCTATAAAGTTACATCATTCTTTAGGGGTTCTGGACTACATAATTTACCAATCTCTCTCTCTTTAAAAATTTTGTTAAACGCAAAGTAAAACTCTAGATAATTAGAGCAATTTGTCTCCAATAAACATATCAGTTTTTTTTATCCTATTCTTACTCGATAAAAGAACAAACAAACAGGCATTTCAGATCAAACCTTTAAGATAAAGCTCAATTTGGATTTCAATTTTTTTTTATATCTTCGTCTTCCATTTTCTAGCATTTCTTACTGGAGGGGTAAGTCTCAGGACATTAGTGCAAATTTTCAAGGTCACAGACTCCTATATATTCACAATAAAAACACACACACACACAAACACGCATGCACATAATTGCACACACATGCAGCATAACATGATGTGACAGGGACCTTACAGTATGTGTCTGAGTGCAAGGCCTGGCTGTCCATCAAACACACCAACAGTTCAAGGCCAATGCTGCAGCACATATGTGACATTATCCGTTGGATACTTACTGTTAGAGTAAGTGTGTTTGTGAATGCATGTGCTCGCACACATGGGCGTAAAAAAAAAAAAAAAACATCCGCCTGCCTTTTCATTCCATGACATTAAACCCAACAGGGTGTTGTCAGTAAACATGAGTGCAGTTTACATCATTGCTCTTTCACATCAATGGATAAAAAGATGTAAATAAAAATTATAATGTTTTCCATGCCTTCATTAAATTATTTCTATCCTACTTTTATTCTTTTATTCTTATTTACAGGTCTAATAGAATTTGATATTCAATGCTATATGTTTCAAGTCATTAAAAATCAGGAATCACAATCAGTGAATCAGTTTCCTCTGCAAGGACTTTGATAATGGTCGCATGTAATTTAATATGTATCAAAAATACTCATATTAATAAAGATATTAGGAGGAATGGTATTAAATAGCATTACAAATAAAACAATACTTCCCAAATTGGCTTTATTTCAGTGTGCTTACCATCATAAACAATGTTATCTTCTAAAGAAACCAGATTATTCATCTCATTTGCTTTAAATATCGCTTGTTTGGCTACATCCTGTTAAAATGGTCATTGTCATGTAAATTAATTGCAGCACTGTTAAAATTACATGAAACGTTCATATCACACTTTGGTTGCAGGGTTGTTTTGGTGCTACTCTTAATACATTTTTCTTGCCTTATTACCTACACCACTAGGTATTCAGTTTAACTGTAAGATTAATACTCTAATGTCAGGGTTAACATTTTTGGAAAAGTGTCTCATCACGCTATCATCAGACAGCATTATCATAGGCCAGTCTCTAAATCTGAGACATTGTTCTGTTTTTCTGCTATTATATTTATGTTTTGTTCTTTCAGTATTGAATTTTAATCAAGTTGGGTCAATGTGAGGAAATAAACATTGAAAATGGTGTCATTATTTTTTAAGAAACATTGCTTATTCCTTAAAATTCAATGGAGAAGAAAAATGTAAGCTGATGCTAGGAATTTAAGGAAGCTAATGATCTCCATGACAGCAAGGGACACTTGCATGTTTCAGAGCAAGAAAACAAAGTAGCTTTAATGGTTCTGTTAGTCACCTATCCTAAATGCATGAACAAAACAATAGGAAAAATGCAGATCTTAGATTACAGAAGAGGCCCCTGGAACCTTTAAAATTTGAAGACAACAAATGTAAAGAAAAATAGGCCAAAAGAATGGATAAATACATCACTGTAAGATTTGTAGTAACCAAAATTGAATTTTGCTTTATTATTATTATTACCGGTATTTTTTTTTTTCTTAATGGAAAATGCTGATGAATTTGTTTTGTAAACACTTTTAAGACAGCTCTCAATTTACAAAAAAAGAAATTGGCAACTTCTGGTCAAAGCTGCTTTAGACTGTTATAAATGTTTAGAACTTTTTATTTGTTTTAATTAGAATACAAAAGTGTTATTAGAAAAGTCATTTCAAGCCTTTACAGTTACAACAGACAATTAGAAAGCAACACATATATAGCAACAATTTACTGTATTATTTCAGCTTGATTGAAATCTTTGGTGTTGGATGGTTTATGTGTGGATCCTGGCTTGATATATGCTCAGACTCCTCTATACGAAACACAAAGGGCACAAACTTGAAATGTTTGCAACTGTTTTTCTGCATCAAGTACTTAAACGTCTTATAGTGTTCAGTGTCCTTACACTTTAGAATAAATGGTGTTAAAATGAGGTGTTAAAATGGTGTTAAAATGAGGTGCACTCAGTAGAAGTTCCTCAAGGTAAAGAGCTTGTTTGAGATGTTTAAAGTGCTCTTGAATGGACTGATTTAAATGCATTTCTGAAGTCTGATCCTATATAAGCTCCTATCTGCTGAGCAGAGCTTTCAGTAAACAATACTAAAATTATTTTTACATTTATATAAGTAATATAATTTGTGACAATGAAAAAATGTTGTGAATTTTTTAGGATTCTTGCAAGTTACTCTTGTGATAACAGCTTTGTTGTTGAGCAGATTCATTTATTCTCTGATTAAACAAAACCTTTTACCCTATATATAATCACTTATTCAGACTTTGTGTGATGATAATTTTGAATATTTATGCATTAATTTATTTTTTCTGTTGTTGTTTTTTTTTGCGTATGTTTGCGTATTTCTTGTGAGTATATATCTATTTTTTATTTTTTTGATAGATGTCTGTTTTACTTCCCTTTAAGGACTAGCTTTTTGATAAAAAAATATAATTTTAAATCTGAGTTATGAGTCATTCTAGTGTTAAATGTATGTCACAGCTTTGACATCTGCAATACACCCAAATAGATCAAATTTATTTCAGTGAGAGTCATGGCATGACTTACTTCTGCAGATGGGTCTATGGTCGCTCCAAGCAGCCAGTGTGTCAGTGACTCGTTGACAGGTGATGCTTTTAGATCCATGAAGTACATAGCTGTCATCACAACTGAACTGGACACTTGAGCCAACCCTAGAGATAACATAAACAACAATTCTCAAATAGAGTGAAATTTCACTGTTCTACCTTTACAAAATCACTGAGTATGATTAACAGGTTTCAATAATCATTGGTAATGCTTCATGTGGTACTTTTCTATTTTTTTTTTTTGTTTGTTTGTTAGCCTACTCTATTCATGTCAAATATGTGCCTTCTCACTTTCCAAGCATTTCCCTTCCTGATGTCTGCCACAGATGTGGAAGTGAAAATGTATGACACACTATGTTTAAATCATGTCTCCACCTTGGTGACACACCACAAATTTCTTAGAGGATGATCACCTTATCATAACTTCTGTTTAAACAAAATAATTCTCCACTTCTTTTGAATAGATGGCAGGCACCACAATGTGACTCATTGTATCTATAATTTTTAGAAGCTAGACTCTCAGATAAAAACCATTTCTTGCATATCTTCATGTGTAGCCCCTGTATGACTGTGCCCTGGAGAGAGGAAGTGGGACATGAAGAAGCCCTGGAGTTTGACCTGAGGGTGTAGCTCAGCACAAGCGACGTGTGAACAGCGAAACAAGGCTGCCTGGATACAATTTTCCACAAGCTAATAAATTTGTAAAAGGGCTACAAATTATGTAGTATTGGAGGTATCAGCCATACATATTTGATACAAGGTCCCATGTAATTTCTATCTTTTAATTATTGGTACTCACTAGATGCCATCAAAATATAGAAATTAAAAAGGCAGTAGAGAATCCTACATACAGACTTTACAGACCAGGATGTGAACATGAAAATCTAAACATGACTGATCATACATCTTCCCAGAAAATAAATGGTATATTGTCTAGTTCTACAAATTGTGCAATAATTTTAAGAGCCTTTTTTGTTTTACCAGAAAGTATATTTCTAATATATATTTAAACCTTGAATGTCTGATGAAAAGCAAATAGTTCAGATCCACCTCAAGCAAACAACAACACTTATATACTGTTTTTAGTTGAATAAGTCTAATAGATGAGGTATTTCTAAATATGTAGCAAGTAGCTGTTCTTCAGTGCAAAAAAAAAGGGCTTCATTCATTGGTTTCCATAGAAAAATGTGGCAACATGTTTATAACTTGCAGCACACAAAGCTATCAAGGGTACTATGTGTAATACTGCATATTTCCTAACCAAATAACACAATAACAGACAAAATAGAGAATATCTAAAATCAAATAACATTAGGTTTGATAGGAGGTAAAATTTTGTCATGTTATTAAATACAGCTTTCATAATTTCTCTACTCATCCCAACTTAATTTAATAAAGTATTATCAGGGATCATGTCTAATGAGAGGCTGTCTGTGTTCCTCCTCTGAAAGAAGCAGGGTCAGTTTTAGAGCATCAGAGAGTTGCTACTGGTAATTTTAATAAACTTTTCAGCTTTAACAAACATGATAGTGTTATTCTTTCTCAGCTCAGTGTCAGCAGGATTCTCTAATCTTTTAACTTCAGACTGTATCCCTGGTTTACTGCCACACTCTGGTGTGGGCTGTTTTTATTAGTTCCTAGCACTGCTTGAAACCAAAACTCTGACAGTGTAAAAAGAAAACAGCAGACCCTCATCTGAATCTCCTGCTGGAGTTTAGGCTTTATGTTGTTTTGAACAAAATAAGATGTGGTGAGATAAGAGAGCTTAGACAGACTTTGGGTCAGCATGCTGGCCTAACAACTTAAGAATGTTAATTACTTACATGTAACAAAGTAAAGTGATCTCTACCTTCAACCCAGCAAGCCCAACTTTGACCGTTGATTACCTGTGTTTGTTGTTGTTGCAGCTAATTATTTCTGTCTTTAGGTGACAGTGACTTAACATCAAAAGACTAACATGCAACAGATCTTTCTCTAGAGGATTTACAAGGGATAAAAAATATACATTTAATCAAAGGTTCTTTAAGCCTCAGTGGTTATACAATATATACCAAATCTAAAAAAGAAGATCTAATACACGTCTACATCAAAACCTTGATTATTTTTATAACAGTTCAGAGTCAATTTGTTTCTCTGTGAGGGTTGCAAACATTTTACGTGGGTTGCAAGTGCAACGGTATGTAGATTTTGCCTGCAGTATTTTGCATTGCAAAAAAATAAGCAGAGATAATAATTTTACGTGTCACTAGTCATAGCATTTATATCTTTAAATTTCAAATATCTTATTACTCACTACAGGTGATAGGTGCAAAATATACCAGTGTAATACTGCTCTGAAAGGAAAGAAACAAAATTAACTTACTGGAAGACTGAACCTATCCTCTTGCCATTTTCAGGGACTCCGGGATCTGGACAAACATCACCAGCAAGACCACTCTGGCTTACTGAACAAAAGAGAAATAAAGTCCATCAGCAAAGGACAATTAGCCTAATATTTTATCATTGTTGTGTGATGCTGTGAAGAGTTGATCAATTTCAGATGTCTATCAATAAAAAACATAGGAATTCTAGCAGGCTCTGGAAAAAAGGAGAAAAAAAGTGAGTGACAGGAGAGAGGAAAAGAAGGGATAAATTGATTTAATTTGACAGTGAAGTGAGTGCAATAGTTGCAACTGAAAAATAATTATAATAATAAAACAAGAACTCTTGACAAGAGCAAAGTTTTATTCATATGTGATTTTATGCAAACTCCCCTAAACAAGCAATTAGCTGGAGACTATTATAGAATGTCATAAGATATTACATTTAAGTAGCATCAGCATCATAAACAAACAGCCATAGAAAGAATAAACCCTCAAGATGCTGAAGGATAAATTAACAAAAGAGAGATATTAAATCAGGAGAATGCATTTACTGTAAACTTACAGCCCAAGTGGAATGATATAGAATGTTATTGACATATAAAAGAAACAATAACATTTTGTTTGTCCAAATCATTGTAATTTGATTGACCTTTGGCCGTGAATGCTTATGCATTAGTTGTATTCTTTACTATACAGTACACATGTCGTAAAATATCATTTCACAGAAATCTGAATTTGATTTGCAAAAAAAAGAAAAGGAGTATGGGCTATTTTAATAAATGACATCTCTAAAAAGACAAAAAGCCATTTTCTTCCATAAGGAAAAAAAAAGATTAAACCAGCTTATATGTTTATACTGACATTTTTGAGTACTTTTATGTTATTTTCAAAAGCAACCTTTTTCTAAACCAAATTGCTAAGTATTTTACACATAAGGAAATTTAATCTATCAGTTGTATTGTTTATTGTTATTTATATTAATAAGAAATCCAAAATGTTTATTTCAAACCATATGATTTAAATGTGATTTAAAAAAAAAAGATAAGCAAATTTATCCAATCTATTGACTTTGAGGAAAGTTAAAAGAAAATCACTTTCTCAATAATATGGCAGTACAAATACCGTTCACTGTGCATTCTGATCTTAAATATAGATGATTAATTCTGGTAAAATGGCAGCAGTTGGAAAGTGCATAGGTTTCTCTTAAGGTGGTGCAGATAAAGATATATTTTAAAGTGTACATAGTTTATTTGTAAAATCAATATCATCAGCTTAGCAGCTCTTCAGCAGTTTTACCTTTTTCTTGTTTTGCATGAAAAAATACTGAGTTGAGTTTGGTCAAATTTACAAAATTTACCAATGTTACTTCATAGTTATGAAAATCATTAGTCATTAAACATGTATATTCATGTCAATGTTGTATTACATAGTTTTACTTTCATTCAAGTCAGTTCATTTTTTTTTTAAATATCAGCTTTAAAAATGTTAATTATTTAGACAGGTACTTTTCCATAAAACTTAACAAGATAGCTAATATACAGAAAGGTTCCCAGAATGAGCTAGACTATTCTTTATTCAATTAAACAATAGAGTATTATTTACTTCTTATTTCAGCTCACAGTTTGTTTCTTTTTTTCAGTAACAGAACGTTTTTTTTTTTTCTTTAAGTAGATTTTTTTGTGAGGCTGATAAATGTAGGAGGACTATAACAACAACAGAAAGACTTTAAAAATGAAAAAAATAAACTTGAAAATCAATTCCATAGACTTTGCATAAAACTGAAATGACACTGTATTAAGAGATCTGAAGAGATTTGAATGAAAGAATGCTTCTGATTTTTTGGTGAGGTGTATCATTTTTTTCTCTGAATTGTCAGCTCGCAAAGAGGTAGATTTAAAACAGCACAGATGCAAAACACATGATAAATTGTATCCACCTTATATTCAGGATATTGCATTGCTTTTAGAGCAGCTGGGAGCACCTGCGGCATGCCGAACATGTAATGTGAATGTAAATTAGACCAGACAACATGACAGAAACCAGTTTAGACCAGTTCTGTCTAAACGGAACTCTGTGGATGAATAATATTAGTTAGAAAGACACAAAAAAGTGATGGGAAATGCATGCTAAAAAGACTGACCATTAGGACAAAGGGGAAAAAAACATACCCTGCAGTGGTTTAAAATGACCTGAGATAGAAAAATATTCAGCCTGTTTGAACTTCTTTTCTCCCTCTATCCGGTCCTTTCCTATATCATTTCCTTCATTTCTTTTCACTCAATCCCTCTTTCTACTTCTGCATTCTCAGTGAGCTCAGACTCCTTGTCCCTCTAACATTAGCTGCAATTTACAAAGGGAAGCCGAAGTTTTGTGCATCGCAGCATAAAAGATGGATGAATGATTTGCTGTGTTTGTGTGACTGCATTTCGTGTGAGCTCTGGGCTTTGAGAGTGTATAGACATTGTGTGTGCATGTTTGTGTGAGACATGATGCAAACAGAACAAGCTGTCTTTTTGCTCGACTGTGTTTTTGATGTTCTGTCCAAAAATCATCACACAAACATTCAAATACACACTTTCTCTTTCAGCATCTCTCACTGTGCTCGTTCTATCTCCCGCCCATGTTCAAATGGCATTCATTGGCATCAAATACAAGGTTTATATTGCAGAAACAAATCCAGCTCATGAAAACAACATGAGATTGTTACAGAAAAAAGATGATAAATATAACTTTTGGGTTGATGTCAAAAATGCTCTTACTGACTTAATCCCATATTTGCACTTAAAAGACTATTCATCATTTAAACACAGGCTTATGATGTACATCATCCTTTCCATTTCATCAAAGTGTCTTCAGCAAACGTCTGTAAAAGTCAGCTTTTTAGGAATTTGTGTAAAATAATTTATCTTTGGGGATTATGTACACTACCCCTACTCTGTAGAACAGTGGCTCCCAACAGACACTCCTTTCCTGCAAGTTTTAAGGCCAGGTCTCACTGGCTGCATCTGACTCTGAAAGTTCTGATCTGATCTGTTTTTCTCCTGTTTTTTCCTGCTTATACTACTGTATGACACACAGGGTGAGCAGATCCTGAACTGTGAATCACTGTAGCACATTTCTTCGCCTCTGTGAAACAAACAAAATCCCACATTTTGAATTGATCAAATTATAGCAGTGCCTAATTTCACAACCAACCTGTACACCATGTCCTTAGAGGAAAAGTCTGGTCACATTCAGAATACAAACTGCTCTTCTTTAGTCCTGTTCATGCATATCAATCAAAATTCAGCGCTATGTTTCCTGCTGAAGTCTGAGTGCCAAAGACTAAGTAATTGTATCAATCCATTTTTTCTAATTGTCTTTTCTCTTCATGTGATGGAGATTGAAATGCATTAAATCACTGTAAACGTATTAGTTTTAGGTATAAATAATGACCCATTGGTTAGTCATTGCTGACCAGACTTTTTCTTTAAAATAGAACAGGAAAAGGATCTTAATGTATGACATGTATGATGCAAAATGTCTAAAGAGCAGAAAAAGTCACAACAAAGGCTGTGTAAAGGTTTCTAATGGGGTAAGATCAGGGAAAGGTGAGTCTCAGAGAGCTATGAGGTTTGCCCAAGTTATTTTTTTTTATTTCATAAAAGAGGAGCATGATAAGCTATATTCATCCCTTAATGTTTTTTTTTAGCTCAAAGATCAATATTTAATTTTATTTTTTTTCCTAAGCTCCTTTCATTGTAAAAGTAAACTGTTTATTGAAATGCTTTTTTTCTTTTTCATTTTGTATGTCTGCATTTTCACACTCACTAAATACACACAGTGGGTTTCCGAACAGGGTGAACCTGGCTGTTTTAGATATTTCACTTTGTGTTTTACCTTGCAACCATTTCTTTCTTCCTGCCAGATTCATAAAATTGTCACTGAATTTCAGCATAGGTTCCACCATAATAGACCAGTGGTCTACCTCGGCCAGAGCCACACAGGCACAGTTGCAGAGAATTGTGTGCAGTTGGACCAGCCCCATGCATTTTCAATGAGCTCTGAGTTGCAGCTCTACCTCATATGATCTGATTTTCTGTCAGATCAGACACCAAACTGTGTCCTGGGTCTTCTGGCCTTCAGGTGTCTCTTTGCTGCCACACACCTGACATAAATGAATGGGTGATTAACAGGCTTATGCAGCCCTTGATAGAAAGCAGAGGAGATGCAATTATTTTAATAAGATATGCTGGAACAGATACACATTTAAAATATGCAGGTCAGGGGTCCCTAAAGACTAGAGTTGGGAACCACTGCTATACGAGCAGCGGTTGTCAATGTGGGTGTGATGACAATACTACAGGGTCAGTCTCAAGGTGGTGTCCCCCTCCTCGCTGTGTCATTTCTGCAAAACCATTTTCATACTGCAGTCCTCGAATCCCCATGTCATCCCTTTTCTGTGGGAAACATTGTTGGGTCCACAGTCTTTTCATCAATAAGGAATTTCTTGACAATAAAAGTCTAAAGAACCCCGCTTTAGTAACGTGGCAATAAATCACCCCCTAATGCTATTTCTAACTTTTCATAACAGAGTTCAGATAAAGTAGTTTTGCATCAATTAATGTTTTTCCATCAATGTTTTTTTTTTTTCTACACATTTTGAAACCTTGCATTAGAAGAGCTTTATGGAAACAGAAAACTAAGGTGAAATAACATCCTAAATATAGATATGTAGACACCTCATTCTGTGCTGGAAAGCATTCTGTGTCATCATATGTCTTATCTAAAATAAAACAAAAATGGTATATAACAAAGAGCAGTGAAATCGGGATATTCTTTATAGGTCAAAAATGCAGCATCTGAGTTTAGAGAATATACATTTGATTTTCTCATATCCTATGTATTTTGTTATGTACTTGTTTTGCATGTTTTCATTACAAACATGGTCAAAATTTGTCATAAACCTTGTTTAAAGGAAAAGTCCGGTCAGCAAGGAATAAGCAATGGATCGTTATCTAAACCTAAAGCTAATATGTTTACTGTGATTTAAGGAATTTAGCGTTAATCAGTAAAAAAAATAAATAAAATTTTCGTTGCGA